AGGTTGGGCAATCCTACTTCCGTAGTGACACTGCCTCGAAAACCCAAGGAGGGGTCGCTATGAGTCAGGGCTGACTCGATGGCAAATACCAACAACAACTAACAACATAAAATTCCCCTGAAGTTGATTGCCTCTTACTAAATGGATACAATTAAATTCCTATGCCTGAAAACCTGCAATTCCTCTTTCCTACTTTACCACTCTTAAGGTCATGTGGGTTTCCCATAACTTTCTTTGTGAAAACCCCCAAAAGCAGAACACCATTTTTTTTTTTTTTAATTTTTACTGTGATTTGGGTGAAAGTTTATAGAGCAAATTCATTTCCCACACAGCAGCTCATATGCACTTTGTCTCATGACATTGACTGCAATTTCCCACAATGCAACAGCTCCCCTCCCACTTCCTCCTCATAGTTAACTCTTCCCTGTGTATCCTTCCCTCTCATGCATTCCTGCCCCCGCCCTGCTGTCTCTTGGTGCATACACAGCCCTTCCATTCTCCCATGACTGATCTCTCCAAAGAGTTTATCTTGTTGTTGTTGTTATGTGCCGTTGAGTCTACCCGACTCTGACTCATAGTGACCCCTCTTTGGGTTTCCAAGGCAGTATCACTATGCTACCAGAGTTTCTAAGGAGTTTGTCTACCTACTTATGTTCAGCTCTATGCCTGTGTTTTGTTTGGCTAAAAGTCACAGGAGTGGGTTCAATTCCAGGCCTGAAGGACAGCTAGGGCCCATAGTCTCAGTGTCTCAGTGATTTCAGCAAACCTGGTCCCTTTTTTGTTTTAATGACTTTGAGTTTTGTTCCACATTGCTCTCCCACTCTATCCAGGATCTCTCCCACACAGATCCCCCTCCGAGTAGTTGATAGCAGTAGCCAGGCACCATCTAGTTCTTACGGTCTCATAGATGAGGATCACATGGTGTACCAGTTGCTTGGACTAATTGTTTCCAAGTGTCTTTGGTTTTCTTCATTCTTCTTTGGTCTGGATGAGGAGAAACCCATCGTTGCATCTAGATGGCTGCTTGCAAGCTTTTAAGAGCCCAGTCGCTACTTGCTAAAATAGGATGTAGAACAATGTTTTGTGTAGTATGTTATGCCAGTTGAGCTTGATGTCCCCTATGACTATGGTCCCAAGCTCACAGGTCCAGCTACTTGCTCCCTCTGGATGGCTGGTTGTGGCCAAGACGAGAACTCCATTTTTTATTGATTCATTCTTCTCAACAGAAAGTTATTAAACTTTCTGTTTAATTTAAAACTTAATTTTTGTCAGGTGTAAGGGTAGTTAGGGTTATGTAAGGTGTGGTGCTGACCCTCAATGAACCTTCTTCAATACTAGCTCCCTCTGTTGGAAGGGGCAGTGCCAAGAGGGCACAAAGCGATAGTCTCAATACATACTCACCTCACAACTCCTAGACTTAAAATGGTAGGAAGTAAGAAACTTTATCTAAAGGCACAGGAACAGAATTGTGGGAGTGGAGAGGAAGGAAGGGTTAGTTAGCAAGTATTTCCAAGCAGAAAGACCTTCTAGAAATGACTGTCTATGGTTCAGCTTTGAGAGAGTAAAGCTAATTCAAAACTTTAACCAGATAAGAGAGTAGTGAGAAATACACTGTTTTACAAGCTTCCAAGGTTGGAATCATCACTGGAAAGAGATTAAGGCTTCCAGGAACTGTTGATAGCTTCCTCTCAGGGCTAGCTGCTGAACCTCCATGTCTTCGTGATTGCTACCTGGCAAAACAATATGTTCCACTTCCTGTGTGCTTGATGCCAGTTTTCTGTTTTGGTCTATCTTAGCAGGATTTATAAGATCTAGGCAGTCTTCTAGCTTATCTTTACTCTTTATGCCTCAGATGTTATCTTATTTACAAGACAAGAAAAAGAAAAGGGATTTTAAACTGGGCTTAAAGTCAAGTTAGATCAACAGCTCCAAGGTTCATTAAAACCTCAGTCCTCCATAGCCATTTAGTAAGTGAAAATCATTTCAATAAAGATAACACAGATCCAGCTTCTCAGAAGGGCCAACCTCAACCTTTCTGTAAATTCAGAACGAGAGTGCACTTTGCACTCGGAAGGCTTATTTCTTGCAAAGTCCCTTATTAACATTCTTTTCCTCACAGCACTTCTCAATGGCTGCTGCAGCCAGGCTGCTCAGCACAGATTTTCTGCTCGGCATGGGGGAGGGGGTGTTAATTATGCAGAAAGATGGAGAGAGGCCAGACAGCCCCTCTGGTGAACTGTCTCATTCAAGCACGGCCCACTTCCTGCTGTTTTGCAGCTACAAGGATCACCTGTTGGTCTTGGCATCTGGCCAAGCTGGGGCCTAGCGGAAATGACAGACTCGGCTAGAACAGACTCAGCTAGAAATGAAAGCCAGCTCATATTCCAGTATCCCAAATTGTGGAGAAAGAGAAAACATGCAATAAAAATGCATACAAATTATGCAAAAGGTAGCCAGACTCACTGCTTTCTTTTCTTCTTTTTTCCTTCTTGCTTGAAATACAATCCTCAAAATAGTCATCTGAGCCAAAAATATTTCTTCTCCTGACTTAAGGGAAAATGCAGGAAATCTTTCTGGCCCCTCCCTATACCCCCACTGGGGTGTCATAGTCCAACTACCTAAATAAGGTTTTAGGAGTAACCAGTCCCAAATACTCATGTTTCTTCTTTAATTCACTCTACATCTTTAACATATCTACCTCTTTCATTGCTCCTCCTTAACCCTAGAAGTACAATGAAACTGTGTTTCTAGTCATGCTATTTCCACCACCAGGTGGAGTTTGATGACAGAAAAGTTCTCTTACTGACAGTTAAGGACTAGCCAATGCTGATCATTCGATTCATCAGGGGAGAAAAGGGGCTTGTTTAATCCAAAATTACCATATTCATCAGGTATTTGTATCTTTTAGCAAAATTTCACTGACCCATACATCAAACAGTGTAAGAAGATAACTTATATAATGGTTCAGTAGTCTTCAAAGAATTACTGATTATTACCAAATCAAGCTAATATTTCTCAAATTAAAAAGAAAAAAACAAGAAAAATTTTTCCCTTCCCAAAGTGAGTAAATTGACAACATAGTTTTCTCCATCAAATACAGTACATCATAAATAATTGGTTTGCATTCCAGCCACCAAAAAACTGTACTTCTTCAAAAAGATATACAGTGTTTTTGTGAGCCCAGTCTTTAAATTGTGACCTTTTTTGCCATCACCTACCTTCTTTCCACATATAGCTTCCTGTGTGTGTGTTTTTTCTTTTTTTTTTTTCCCCAGCCAGGCAGGTAGCAAAGTCAAACCCCAGCAGGAGAAACCACTACCTCATCTGCATGTTATGCATTATTCATGACCTCCTGATTCCTGCACCTGCATCTAGGCAGGAAGCTTGCAGGAAAGGTTCATTATTCTCTTCTTAGCCTCACACAGGCTCGATTACTGCTAAGCCACTTTGTTCTGTAACTAAGGGTTTCACAGGCCTTGGTACTAACCGCTGGATATGGAAAGAGAAAAAAAAAAAAAACACATGCTGAAGAAAAGGGCAGTCTTGGTTGTTGTGAAACATGTACTGAACCCTACAATGTGCTCTTCTGAGACTGACAGTATATGTCAGATGCAAATGCTCACATTTGGTGATTTGTAGTAGTACATAGAGAAAAAGAAGCTGTATCATTAAGCCCATGTATACCAACTATTCTATTTATATACACTTAGTCATCTGAACCAGACAGCCTATTTATAATTTACTCAATGCAGCACTTAATTTAGCTTTCTTGCTAAGCACGTGAGAACACTGTAGTCATCTTGATACTAAAACTCCTCCCCTTTTGGGCATAAGCACCCAAGAACCTGACCCTCAAATTTTGCATTTTAATGGTTAACATTATTACTAACCAAGAGAAAATGATCACTCTATTTTCCAGTGTTTTCAGGAAACTACTCGAAAACTAATGGCTGGTGGTTGGAGGTGAGATATGAAACCTAGATATGCAGCCTACATTATTGAGTCCTAATGAATTCCTGGGGAAGGATACTGGTCACCCCTTTTTTGGGAACTGTACCACAGAAAAGTTGTGACAATTTAAATCCAATCTTAGAAGCTTAACTGGAGGTAGGAGGAAGTGTTTACAAATACAAACTGTAGAGTCAGCCTGCCTGGGATTAAATTCCAACTCACCATTTACCAGCTGTGTAATTTTAAGGCAAATTATTTAACCTCTCTGTGACTCATTTTCTTCATCTGTAACAACTGGAAGTAATAAGGGCACTTACCTCCTAATGTTGTGAGACTTAAATGACTTAATAAATGTAAAGTACTTATAAAGGTGCTTGGCACCCAGGGAGCATTCAGCACATTAATTTGCATCACTAGCAGTTGATGACTGGAATAGAAAGAATGGGAAGATGGAACTGAAATATTTGGCAAAATCCAGGGGACTGAGATTATAAATGTGTTCTACAGAACCTACAGTCTTAATTACTAAGCTTAGATGGCTTTACTTTCAAAGGTGAGGGTATAACAGAGAAATAAACAAATACAGAGTAACAACCAAATACTGCGGTTTATAAGGTATGGCTTAACCCTTTGACATCTCATTTTTCTGTTCTTTATTAGAAGACCTAGTTTCTAGTTACTAAATTGCATCGTATTCATTTATACTCTATTCAAAAACAAGATAGAAATCACAGCAATACAAAATCACTGCCATTTACTGAGTCTATACTATATACCAGGAGCT